TCTGTAATAATAAAGTGCTGAAATATCTGTTTAATGATTAAAACCAACTCTAATGATCTGACATCCTTTTCCCAGTTTGCTGAATTTCTGACATTCCCCTTTGCCTAGAAAGAAGTTCTGATCACACTATAACAGAAAAGGACAAGTACAAAAAATGAAAGTTGAGTCTTGATGGATGAGTAGGAATTCATTGGGAAAGAGAAAGAAGGGAGATGATTTCAGGGAGATGGAAAACTTATGTAACTTTTTGAAAGATCAATTTGTTATGCTTGGAAATTAAAATTTTTGTCATACATTTACAAATCTACTGTAACATTAACATCATGCATTTTTAGAGGTAAAGTACTATCTTAAAACGTCAAGATAATATTGAGATGGTCCTCTCATTTGGTAGGCAATATGGTCTATATAGTAACCTTGACAAATTGTAGGTAATTTATTCAGCCTAGAAGGTCTGAACTGTCCCACAGAGTATCTGAATTGGAAGACAGTGGCTACATGATGACTTCTCCTTCATCCTCCCCTGGGCTGCACTTCCTCAGTGGCCCTGGTAATAGGTTTGGGCCAGATGTCTAAAAATGTGAAATTCTTCCTAATTTAATAGGTTAAGATTCTATATAGTACCAGGAAAAAGGGACATATTCCAAATTTTTGAAAATTGGTATGTGTTTAAATGGTTACTATGCATTTTGAACATTATATTGTACTGTCATCAATAGATCTGAAAGTGGATTTACCAAATTATACGCTTAGTCTTTTATAATACGGTCTATGTATTGCCAGGCACGGTGGCTCACACCTGTAACCCCGATACTTTGAGAAGCTGAGGCAGGAGGATTGCTTGAGGCCAGGAGTTTGAGAACACTATATCAGAATTAGCATTTATTTAAAGATTGAGTACCAAAGGGGGCAGGGATTGGAATTTAACATCTAGAACACAGCCTGGTAGATTATTGGGAAGACTGGTTGGTCTTGGTTCCAATCCTTTTTGTGAGAGGGTCCCCCAGCAGGTGTAGCCTGCAATGTGCTCTAAGACTGGTGGCTATGAAAGGTGCAAAGAGAGGGCTCCTGAGAGAACTGCCTATCCTTGAGGGAGGGAGGAGCACTAAAGCCTGGCAGCACACCCTGGCTCAAGTCTGCCTGCACAGCTAAAGACATACTTCAGGCCCTTCACTGTGATGAGCAAGCAAAACCTGGAGAATTTCATTTACAGAAAAGTCTGTCAGTTGCTCCAATAGTTTATCACAGTACTACATTTGAAAAGAAAATCTTTAAATACAAAAGGAAGGAGCCATCTAAATGAACAGCAGCTGTGGAAAGGCAACAGTAACTTCATCAGAAGAATCTATTACCACCTCGGAATATAAGCACATGTCCACAGACTTTTGTAATCAGAGATAAAAATTCATGTATCAATTTGTGTACTACTGATTTTGTAAACAAAAATAATTAAGCCAGCAAATGCGTTTACTTTGAGGCCAGAAGAAGGTAGTATGAGGGATGGTAAGACACCAAGTACTGAGGATAGTAACATAAATTGTTATGCAGCTACTAGAAAGTTCAGTTCTGAAACAAAGCTTAGTCTTGTATCCAAACAGAGGCAGAGCATGCTAACTCTAGCACAAAGGACCAGCGCCTTCTCACAGAGGCAGCCTGCTCTTTCCCTTTCTACTCTGAGATAAAGTGCCTAAAAGCAGCTTTCAAACTTTAGTGGGAGAAATAAAAATAAAGCTGGGTTATTGTACATTATCAAATAGGTATTTTCTTACCTCATACTTAGAAAGTACAGGTTGAGTATCCCTTATCTGAAATGCTTGGGAACAGAGTGTTTCGGATTCCAGGGTTTTTTTGGACTTTGGAATATGTGAAGAATACATAACTGGTTGAGCATCCCAAAACCGAAAATCCGAAACCCTGATGTTCCAATAAGCATTTCTTTGAGCGTCAGGTCAGTGCTCAAAGTTTTGGATTTTGGAGGATTTCAGATTTCAGATGCTCAACCTGTATTTAGAAATAAAATATAACTTCTATGTAGAGCCTGTTAATACTTGCTGGTTGCACTTAAGTATCATAGTAATTATCAGCATAAAGTAAAAATAAGTATTTATTGACTAAAATGTTGTACTAACATTTTCAGGGGCCATCTCTTTAAATAGAAAAATGGGGAGACATACTAGAAAACCTTATAATAAAATATGCTTTAGGGTTTTAAAGCAAAAACCCTAAAAAAGAGAAAAAAAAAAAAGCAAAAAATCAGAAGATGAACAGCTGTATAATTCCCTATCTAGCAATAGGAGGAAAAAGTTGAATATTTAAAATTTGATATAGAATGTGTGACATTCAAAACATAATAGTAGGAAGTAGTAAACAAGCTTATCAGCACAGAGCATGGTTTATTTTCAATAATTTAAACATATAAACAAAACTAAGAGTAAGAAAATAAGAGATAATATAGCAAAAGGGTATTTCTCTCCAAGATGATTGGCCATGAGTCTTCAAATATATGATCAACAGAGAGAAAAGTTTGATAGAGTTATTTTAGAGGATGATTCATATTTTAATTTTCTTCTGAGCAGGTTTACCACTTTCTGTTCATGTTTTAGATTTTATTTTTGAAGACTGCATTTAAAAACAAATATTCCCTGGGGATTAAGAGCAGGGGAAATATAATTCTATTCAAAAGCAGAAATAAAACTCAGGGTCTGGGGAGGAGATAAAAATTACATTTTGCTTCTCCAAATGAGTCTGAATCATAAAGAATGGCTTTATCTCACTCTTTTTCTGTCAGACATTTGAAATCAATAAACTATGATTCCTACATATTTTATATATTACAGAAAAAATAAACAATATTGAAAACTGTTCTTATATGGGAATAAAAACAAACAGCAAAACCAACAACAAATAAAAAAGAAATCCGGAATCCTGGTTGGAGGGATGTTTATCACCAATGTCAAAGCCTCCCCTATCAAATATTTCTCTCAGTTGACAACTTTCAAATGATTTAAAGAACGTTAAGAACAATTAGAATGTGAATCCTGGATGTGAATAGTAAAGAATAAGATTGGATGGGTATTTACAAAGGAGAGGCAAAATCTGTGTACAGCACCAGATTTTTCAAGTAAGCAAGTTCATTCCCAATCTAACTGAAGTTTTACATTTTTAAGCTCTCTTCATCATTTCCCAGAGTAGAAAGCTGTGAAATGTTTCAGCTTGGTGCTATTTATTAATGGTATGAACTCAAAAGGTGGTTTTTCTGTAGCTGACCTGATTCTGAGTCTCAGGACTCCAAGATACCTCTACGTCCAAGTGTTGTGAACTCTACTGGCTTTACATACCTGATTTGGGACCATCCATTCTTTTCTTCTTTAAAGTCAGGGAATTCCTTCATTAATGACAATGTGTGCAAATGTACATACACACACTGAAAATCTATAAATAATTCTAATGGCCAAAAGATACTTTTTCTTTATCAGAAAGTACCCAAAGAAAGTGAGACTAGAAATAATGCAACTAAAATATATTTTAAAAGTCTATTTAATACCCATGGTATTTAAACATTCAATTTATTGTCTTATTTCTGGATATTTCTGCATTTTAGATTCCATGAACTTCAGATTCTGAAGCTTGTAGAAAAGGCTAAGTTCTGGCTGGGCGCAGTGGCTCAAGCCTGTAATCCTAGCACTCTGGGAGGCCGAGGTGGGAGGGATCGCTTGATGTCAGGAGTTCAAGACCAGCCTGAGCAAGAGCAAGACCCGATCTCAAATCGAAAAAATTATCTGGGCAACTAAAAATAGACACACAAAAAAATTAGCCAGGTGTGGTGGCAAGTGCCTGCAGTCCCAGCTACTCAGGAGTCTGAGGCAGGAGGATCACTTGGGCCCAGGAGTTTGAGGTTGCTGTGAGCTAGGCTGATGCCAC